TCGTGGGGTCATGGGGAGCCTCCCGGGAAGCGGGGGCAGATCGGGGAGGCCCAGGCCACCAGCTGTGGAGGGACCCGGGTGGCTGTGAGTGCTCCTTCCCGCAGCCTCAGAAAGCAGAGCCAGCAGGCTCCCCCCTCCCGTCCCCAGGCTGGTGATCAACAAGGACACTTTTATGCCCCTGCTCTTGGCTCTCCAGCTTCACAAGGGTCATTATGCCACCAAAAAGCCCCTAAGCCCTGCTCCCACCGATGGCACTCCTTTGGCCCGGCCAGAACGTGCACCTAGCGGGCAAGGTTGTTTTCTCCTTTTTGACACCAGGGACCTGTTTTGGAAATGAGGGAGGCTGCAAGGGCCCTGAGCCTGACCCACGCTCACAGGCGCCCCGTATACAGACCAGCTTTATATGAATGCAAAAGGGGCTTCCTCAGTTGGCCTCGTGTGCACAACGAGGCCACAGAAACGTCTGTTGGAGGAATGATTCCAAGTTGGCACGTTCAGAGGTAAGATACTAAACTGGGCTAAGGTTCATTCAACCATCCTGTTTGTACAAAGGTGAGAAAGAGGAACCGGAAAAGTGTGTGTTAGTTCTCCGCAAATCCAGCTACGTGTACCAGCAGAAGGGTGGACTCGAGGGCCCTCCCCACGCCGCCCTCCTGCCCCGGAGGCTAGGATGTTACAGGCTGAGCTGAGCTTGCAAGCGCGCCGTGGGCTTTCTTGCCGGCCTTTGGCTGCCGCTGGCCCCGGGGAGGCCCGGGACACGGGCACTGCAGAGGCCGATTACCCCAGAGGAATCTCCCCGACCTGAGAGGCAGAGGACAGAGACCCCGAAGGACTGCGGGGTGAATGTCGGCTGGGCCGAGGACAGCTGGCTGGTCTGCAGAGGCAGGTAGGTGCAGAAGGAGAAGCAGGGGAGCCGCTGGGCACGCAGCGCCATTACAATTGGGCCCCACATGCGGGGGGCCCTCCGGTTTTGCAGGCCTGTCACTTCGGGAGACTCCTGGGACCATCCGTTCTGGGACTTTGCCCAGCCCGGCCCTCTGCTCTGTGTACCAGAGGTGGGAGGGAAGACCAGTTTGAAGGCCAGGCCGTAAGCACCACCGCCCTTGGACATCCTGGCTCCGGGGAGGCTCAGACGGTGCATAACACAGGCAGCCTTCGGGGTCCTGCCCACGTCCACTCTGGGAGCCAAACCTGGGGAAGATGTGCTCTCCCGCTCGCAGCTGCCTCTACAGAGGCCGGGCCAGAGAGGTGGGCTTCTAGAACGCGGGGGGGGGCAAGGAGCAAGGGATGTCCCTCTGAGGAATCACCGCCAGCTTCCGTGTCCCCCGAGACCACTCTAAGGCAGAGAGGGCCGGGAGGGGCCGGGAAGGGAAGACTCAGGCCTCAGCACGTGGGGGTCTTGGCAAATTTTTGAGGTTGTGGCCAACATTAAGGGGGCAGGAGGACGTGGGTGGAGGGGAATCTGCGAGAACAGAGGGAAAGCACACAATTTGAAGACAGTCCCACATAAAACATGAAGGTGTCCGAGAGAGAAAGGTGACTGTTTACAATCGGGGGGGAGGGGGAGCTAGACCAGCACCCCAAGTGATAAAGCAGACCTCTTACTGGGCATGCCACAGATACATTCAAAATGCAACCTAAAAACCTATTTTGCTGAGTTACATTGAAGCAGGTCATTTTGAATTTGAAGCATTTAACACCGAACACAAGTAAAACGTTTTATATAAAATATTTTATTAGCAGTCTTGCTTTCTTAAAAGCATCTAACTTCACATTCACACACCCTGCACCTCCCCGCCTTGGGCGTTCGGGGACGTGACGAAAGCCTCAGCGGGTTTTAACTACACTCGTAACCATCTGCTCGGCAGGCACAAAGTGAGGGGATTTCTTCTTCTGGGAGTAAAGGGTGACCGAGAATTTAGAGGCGAAGCAAACACTGCAGAGAAACACTGAGACCCACACCTGGAGCAAGCCCGCACGTGTGTGTGCACGCACGCACACGCACACACACCGCAGCCCGCCCCAGCCCGAGCGAGTCCTCAGGCATGCTGCGTTAAGAAGCCAAGACTAGGCAAAGGCAGAGGGAAGCACCTTTCTGCAAGACGGGAGTCAGCTCAGCCTCCAGGCCGGTAGGGACACCCCATGCCAGGTGACTGGGGGCTAGGGGCACGGGCCACCCTCCCAGCTCAGCCTTCTGCTTGGTGACAGCAAGTCCGTGATGAGTAGCCACTAAGCTAGTATTGCACTCTATGCTTTACAAAATATTTTCATGTGTATTGGACGTTACAAACAGGAGGCAATAAGGCAAAGCGAAAAAAAAAAAAAAGGCTCTGGGGTCAGACCATGGCTGAAATTCCAGCTGCGCTCTTCCCTGGGGTGGGACCTGGGACCTCACCTGCTCTCCCGCAGCCCTGGGTTCTGCACCCCTAGAATGAGTACATCCCCTCCTGCCTGTGGCACCGGAGGCCAGGCCACGTCTGGGTTTCCTCCTCTGGGTCCCCGGGGCCTGGGACAGCACCACGCATGTGCGGAGCATCAACCACTGTGTTTGCAGAGTGAGCGGATGAGCAAAGGACTGGGGTGGCCCTGGATGCAGGGCCCGGGACACCTGGTGGGGAAACACCACACCTGTCCCTGACCACACCTGGTGGGGAAACACCACACCTGTCCCTGACCTCCTGGTAGCGCCCTTCTCAGGGTGGGGCCATGGCCTCTCTGTGGGGCTCTAGGAGGAGCTTTTACCTAAAAGCTTCGGTTCTGCTTGCTGGCCCGGAAGGCCCCTCACCCAAGACGACTTTGGCAGATTCCAGCATCTTCTATGTAAGATGTTTCCCCGGGTTGCTTCCCACGGCACCCACGCAGGACCCTTTGAAGAGCTGGCCTCTCTGGCTCATACTCAGCGAGGGCAGGAGCAAGGGTGGCAAAACGTGCTCTGAGTGTGGACGCAGGCGGCAGGTCCCAGAGCCCCGGCCCTGCGGCTGGAGCAGGAGCAGGAGTGGGAGCAGTGGCCGGCGTCCGGGCTGCTCCCCCTTCTCTCCCGACAAACTTCACTTAAAAGTGATATCCTTCGGCCTCACTCCCGCCTCCGCTAACAAACACGGGAGAGGCTGCTCGTCGTTCATGCAAGATTTCATTCTTCCTTCTAAACCAAGAACCGCCAGCAGGGATGAAAGGAATATGTTGGGGCGTCACGTTCAGAAACCCGGCGGGCGGCCTGCTTTCCGTCCCTGTGCATGAAAGACAGCGCGCGGCCACCTACCTCTTCGCCACGGCGATTTAAAACAACAAATCAGTAGGGTGTTTGGACGTCACCCTAGGCCATTGGAACGAGATGTTTTATCTGACTCCCTGGGGATGCAAACCACACACCTTTGCATCAGTGCGGCCGCCGCCGAGGGTTTGTAAGAGAAGGTGACAGCAAGGGGCACTTGCCCATGAAGAGGGAAGAGGGGGCATCCCAGAGCTGACACAGGCTCGCTCCACACCTGAGCACCTGGACCGTTTTTCTAAGCAAATCCTCCTGCCTGGCGACAGGGGCATACTCGCCACACACCAGTCAGCGCCCTTCAAAGGCCACCCTGTTACTTCGCATGTGCGTTTCCCTTGAAGCAGCCGACAGCCTCACGTCCCCGCTTAGTTCATCTATTAAAAGGGACGAATGCGATTTATCAACCGCGGAAAATTGAAATGCGAGAGGCACGAACTCCTAGGGAAATGATTCCTTCTGAGGGCGCAGGTAGAGTTGGAAACCAGATCTGCCATCTCGAGCCATCTCACTGTTTGCTTCTGAAATGGCTGAGACGGGACACGGCGGGCTCGGTGCGGGGGGCGAGCTGCCTGTTGGCGGGGATGGCGGCGCCGCTCCAGGCTCTTCCCTCCTTGCAGGCCACGGACCTGCAGCCCACGGGCCCACCCGGAGGGATGGAGGTCCTGACCGTACCTGCTGTGACGTGGAGGGTGGTCGCCGCCTTCCCCCTGCGTCCCCCTCCCCATTTCACCAGGTTGTTCCTAGACGGGTCTCCCTACCTGTGACATCTTGCAAGCAAATCTATTGTGCAATTAAATGAAAGCTCTTTATACCCCCTAAGTTAGATCCCGGGTAGATGACTTAATCTGGAAGGTAATGCCGCATTTGCGCAGAACACTGAAACTCAAAAGTTACATTTTAATATGCGCGAGCGTGTTCACCACAGAGGATCGAAGGGTGAAGGAGGGATCGCTAAGCATTTGCCAGTCAGGTCTGGATGTGAGTAAAATTCGAACTCTTTCCCTTCTCTTAAAGTGGAAAATAGGAGCTTTGGGAACAAAACCAAGGAGTCGAAGAGCCTCGTAGAGCTGAAAGCGGGCTGTTCAGAGGAGGAGACGGAGACTCAGGGAGGAGACAGCGTGCCCAGGAAACAGTCCATCGCCAGGAGACCCCAGCCCCCCGGGGGGTGAGTTTCCAAGCGGGAAGCAGCTGTTCCCTCCTTGGCCTTCCCTACCTCTCCCTACGGTCGCCTCTGACAGCTGGCAGGCACACAGGCGCCAGTCAGCAAGCCAGGGGCCGCCGACCTCGCAGCTGCACCTGCCACCGCTGCCCCGCAGGGATTTTGCTTCTGTGATTCCATCACCGGGAAGAAGGACCTTCTGGTCTATGACATCGACATGAGCGCAGCGCCAACAAGGAGGAGATGTCATGGACACAGGACCCGGGACGTGGCACCGCCCAGGACCCTGCGCCCTGTCTGACCAAGCCGCGGGCACCGGGGCCACGCGGTCTATGCCGGTTGCTCCTGAGGCCTCAGATGCCTTCCACCTGCCTCCCCCACCGCAGTGGGCTCCCTTCCCCACTGCACCCCTGCCGCCCTCCGTGGGCCGCTCCCGGCTTTGCCACCCATTCAACTTCCCAGCTCCCGCGGAGGTAGTTGATGTGATACGCGAGCAGAGGGACAGGTGTGTAAAAAAATCAACAAGGCTAATCTTCTAGACATTTTTTAGCAAAATTCAGGTGTTCAGAAAGTTAGGAAGAAATAAACGATATATTTTTGCTTAAAATAAGCGGCACGGGGCGGGTGCAGGGGGGAGAAAAGGCTTTGGGAAGGCTGGCCGATGGCACCCTCCAGCTTTCTGTACTTTCGGAAACGCGTGCAGCCCCAGAGCCCCCTCTCTGCTGGGGACCCCGCCTGCATCTGTCACAAGTCCTGCCTGAACACGAGACCAGCTCCGCGGCTTAGTTACACCCCTCGTATCTCTAAGCAAAGTGTGTTATTTACCCTGAATAATTTCCTTTAACAGGTACTAAAAAGATACAGTTTCTTAAAATGAATGAGAGTTATCGGCTTTTGGCTTGGAAAACGACTTCTCCCCGGAGAAGGAGGCAAACCGTTAGGAGGCCAGGCTGCCACCGGCGTGGGCCTTCCTCCCCGGCCGCCCGGCCTCCGCTCTGCCGCCGGCCCCCGCCTGCCTGGCCGCCGCGGCGTTCAATTCTGCAACGAGGACACGACATCTTTCTACACCTTCTTCCCAGGTGAAGCCGGAAAGGGAGATGGAGACAGGACCCCAGCCGGCTGGGCGCGGACGGGCAGCACGACACCCGCGGACGGAGCGCGCGGCCGGGGGCTGGGTGGCAGGGGTCCCTGTGGCTCTACAAGTGGCCCTGGGCCGCGATGTCTATGTTCATGTCTCCTGGCACTCGGGTGTTTTACCTCTCCGCCCGGATTTTGTATCTCAGGACGAAATAGGCGATGAGGCGCAGGGAGATGAAGAAAATCCCCAGAACGATGAAGTCCAGGTAGAGCTTGGCATCCTCCACGTCCAGCTCCCTCAGGATGGCTTCCGACTTCTGGAAGTGGCACGTCTCATCGATGCCACAGTGCAGGTCCTCTCGATCCAGGCCGTAGATGGACAGGATGACCCCTTCGAAGCCGTACCTGCGGAGGAAGGCACCGGGCGTGGTGAGCAAGGCCCTCCCGGCGGCCAGCGGACCCTGCGCCCTCGCACCGGCCTCCATCTACCGAGGGAAACGGGGTCCCCCGCCTTGCCTCCCCAAGACCTGTCTTCACGGAAACACTTCCCAGACTCCCAACAGCCTCTCAAGACAAGCGCATTCAACGGCCTGGCTAAGGTTTTCCCAATTTTTGTTTCCTCCAGAGCCTCTAGCCACCAAGCCAAACTGAACAACAAATAGAAGGTATTTGTTCAGTGGGGAAGCGAATCGGAAAGAAAGCTCTTTGATCCTCTGATAGAACATATTTATTTTTTTTAAACAGATATAATAAAGGGCCTGAGAGCCTTCAAAGGACTCCAGGGCATTTAAATAAAACCCTTCTGCGCCATCCCATGTCTCATTCTGCTCCAGCCCTACGGTGTCAGAACAAAAACACCAATTTTGAGAAGAAAGACATGGGTGTCTGATTTTCTGGCCCTTGGAACGCGCACGGATTGTTGAAACTCTGTACGAGTGCTTTGTTTTGATCTTGTTTTCCTGAACAATACATCTGGGTCTGAGCTGACATTCTAGAAAAAGGAAGCTTGTTCCTAACTTTGGATTTTATGTGTCACATGGGTCGGCTACAGCTGGGAGCGAAGAGCTCTTGAAGACAGGCGCTGCCCAGTCAGGCCCACGTGCCAGGACCTGGGGCCAAGAGGATGCGCTGAGGCCCCAAGGGGCTTGGATGGTCTTGTTCAAGGATATTAGGATGTTTATTTATTTTTTTTTAATTTTTATTTATTTTATGATAGTCACACACAGAGAGAGAGAAAGAGGCAGAGACACAGGCAGAGGGAGAAGCAGGCTCCATGCACCGGGAGCCCGACGTGGGATTCGATCCCGGGTCTCCAGGATCGTGCCCTGGGCCAAAGGCAGGTGCCAAACCGCTGCGCCACCCAGGGATCCCTATTAGGATGTTTAAAGCACGACTGGGTTTCCACTGGATTTATAGTCAGAACCTTGGCGGGAGCACCATTCACTCCAGAGAGGAATGAGGTTCGTGAGATGGGAACACGCCTCCCCATGCAGCCCTCCACAACATGCAGAATGTGGGGGTTCATTGCAGTTTCTTCCAGGCACAAACCACTAGTACTTATTCTATGCTTGGGTGCATGTGTGTGCATGTGTGTGCATGTGAGCATGTGTGCATGTGGGTGTTTGTGAGGGTGGGGACACTCCAGACTTAGGAAAAAATGAAAAGCACCAATAGTCCTGGACTCATGATGCAAGCCACATGCTGGCATTCAGCTAGTGGCTAAGAAGTGGCTTCTTTCCCTTCCCTCCTGTCCACATAGAGCTCCCGAGCCACAAAAGCCTCCATGCACACTACCTGACGTAGGAGATATATGACATCCACTGCAGGTAAGTCGGAATGGTGTCGAAGCTGACGAAGAACCCTGAGAAGAGGAGGACGGGGATGGCCGTCACAGGTCCCACGAATGTTGCCACCTGGGGGGACACACACGGGACTTGCTCAGGGGCAGCAAGCGGGAAGTCCAGCCCGGTTTCCTCACGTGGCCCCCGGAGGCTGTATCCCACGTGTCTGGGGAGAGTCCCCAGCAGCTGGGAACAGGCCAGGGCTGCAGGCGGGTCACCCCAGGCCAGGACGCAGCCTGTCCCCGTGCAGGGGGGGGGGGGACGTTGTGCTCAGAGGTCAGCGGGCCCCAGCATAGGGGACGGAAGGTGAAGAGAGAGCCCCTCTCGCAGGAGGCAGGGACCAAGATGCCCGGATATGAGGCTGCAGCGCAGCCTCTGGAGGGGCAGACAGCCAGGTGCTGTTGCTGTGTCCAAGGGAGGAAGGGGCCATGAACACCATCCCCCAGGTGCTCAGAGAGGCAGGCAGGGCCGCGCGCTTTCCACGGCGATCGGATGGACACCCTCGCTGCGCCTATCCACGGATGAGGGGACCGCCCGGAGGCTAAGCAGTCACTGGCAGAGGGCTCTGGAGACGGAAATGGGGAGTCCATCATATCCAGCGGCTGGGGAGGGGTGTGTGTGTTGGAAGGCCTGGGGTGCACACCAGCTCTGTGGCTTTGCTTTCAGGGGACAGAACTGACCTAAGCATCCCGAGGTGCAGAAGCTGCAAAAGCACACAGGTTTGGCAGGCTGGGGGCAAGACACGTGAAGCCCCAGGGCAGTGTACGGGCACGGTCTGCATTTGGGGGGCCAAGGGATGGCGGAGTGGATCCCCCAGAGGCAACAAGACATAGGCATCGAGAGCTTGGACTCCCAGCCAGTGGCATGATCCCGACCAGGTCATGCTGCCTCTCTGGGCCTCAGTCTCCCCCACTATGAAATGGGGATAGCACCACGCTGGGCTGGTGGGTGTGCCTAGGGGGTCAGTGAATTAAGACGTGGAAATCCCTGGGAAAGCATCTGGTGGGCAGGAGGTGCCACCCATGGGCACTGTCAGTGCACCAACCCCGACTAGCCACGACGACACGATTCCTTCCCAGGGGATGGATCTGGTGAAGCCAATCTGGGAAGTCGGGGCAGAGCTAGGAGGAGGCGTTTTAGGGAGGAGGGGCCCCGGCGACCCTCGGGTAGAGAAGGACACCCTCCCGTGCTGTGTCCTCAGCTGGTACCTGCAGGGACGTGGATGCAGCTCCGATCAGCAGCCCCAGGGACTGCGCCACCAGGGACGTCATGGTGCCCAGCGCGGCGAACAGGACAAACCTCACGGCGTCAGACGGCTGTGACGTCATCCAGTACACGATGCTGCAGTAGGCCACGGGGAACATGATCTGGAAACACAGGGTCCGTCAGCCCTCGTGGAAATGCGTGTTTCCCACCCCGTCTACGGGGAACGGTGGAGAATTCGTGCCCCTTTGCTAACACACCTGGAAGGGCACGTCGGCCATGGTCTTGGCTAGGTAGTAGGCCTTCAGGCTGTACCAGTAATTCAGGTGTTCCCGAAGAAATACTCCCATCTCCAGGGGAACTAGGAGACAGAAAGAGGGAGAAGGGGTCAGGCTGACACACCCAGGGAGCCGGATATTTGCCCAGGACACCTCGGGCTGAGCTGAGAACGCGGTGTGCACCTGCAGAGCGTGCAGCACTCGGGAGATTGAGCTAAAACACAGGAGATGATTTACCAGCCGGGGGGACACCCGCCGACCATTCTTATGACCCAAAGAGTCGCCAAGTGGAAAATCAGTGGAGAACGCCGACATGGGTCCTGGGCATTGTTTCAGCGACTCGCACAACTATTTCCTGCCAACCTCAACACTAACCAGTGTGATTCCTTCCATGGGCAAGAGCCCCCAAGTCGGTCCTGAGAATTCAGGGCCATTTAGGGTGGCAGTGCCGGGGGAGTTTAATGCTGGAGTTCACTGTCAGCTGGAAGTGAGCAAGGGCAGCGTGCTCTGCAAACCATCTGGAACCCCATGGACATCCATCTAGAAACAGCTTTATCTACTCACAAATTCAGCCACGGCAGGCTGGCTTACTAAGCCAATGAGGTGACATTTAAACAACAAGACACGAGGGATTTCTGATTAGAAAACCTTCGGCCTTCCGCAATGCTCACAGGTCTTCCATTAGTGATTAATTCCTTTAGCTTAGACATGGAATGCATTTTCTCATCTAAGAGAAAACACGACAGTACCTGTCCACAAAGAAAATGATGTTTCGAGAAACCAAGATGTTATGTGTCAGAAAGCTCATCTATTATTGGCTGAGCCAGGACCTCAGTGCCCCATTGGTGGGAGGGTGTGCAGGGCCAGGCACTCACACGTGAGAACGGTGGGCATGAGGGCCGCAAACATGAGGAAGAGCATGGAGAAGAAGAGGAAGCCGGAGTTACTCAAGACCTTCTTGGCCTCGTTCCCAATCCCCAGGTACAGCAGGCCGATGAGGAGGCCGATGCCAATGTGAGACGTGATCCGCAGGTGCGTCAGGACCTGGGGGCACACACGGTTCTCGCTGATGTGCGTTGGGGTCGGGCAAAGACCGCGGGGCCGAGGCCTTCCGAGGCATCGGTCCCCGATTTCTCCTCCCGAAGAATAAACCCCAACCCTAAGCCAACTCTCTCTCTCTCTCTCACACACACACACACATGCACACACACACACACGCACACATGCACACAGCACGTTTACTGCTGTTCAAACAGAAGCAATTGGCATCCTCTGTCCAATCCCCTTCACAAATGGCACGAAGGGCAGTCTGCCTTCAGAGGAGGGAGCAGGTGAAACAGTGCTGGGGGGACCGGGGGGATGGATACATCCTGGCCCCTCCTCGGACGGCTCTGGCCCGGCCAGCCTCAAGCCCTCCAACTTTCAAAGTAGGTCCCAGAGGCCCCACTGGGCACACTCAGCCCTTCCCGCCAGGTAGCCTGCCAGGTTGTCTGCTGTGACAGGTGGATGTGATCACAGCTCCTGGTCACTGGCCACCTCCTACTCGACCACGCTCTGGGCCCCTGTGCCCTCAGAGCCTCCCAGAGTGACGAGCACACTCCCACTTGGGCTTGGCCAGAGGAATGCAAGCACAGGAGACGTTTGCCGCCTCCAGCAGGAGGTTTTACAGGCTGGCCCCTGCCATGTTCCAGGAAAGGAGCTGTGTCTCCATGCTGGGTCCCAGGATGAGACGTGTGGGGCAGGGCCACAAGCCACAGCTGCCAACACACAGCACCAGTGCAACGTACGTATTTACTGTCATAGCCACCGGCGCTTGGGGAGTGTTTGTTGCAGCAGCACCGAGGACGGAAGGCTGACCAATGCAAATGCAGGGAAAACAGCCTGAAAGTTCCGTCGGGATGAATAAACCAGAAAATGATCCCACAGCTTCTTTTGCCATGAAAAAGTGCTTGCAAACAGCCTTACCGAATCCCTCATGATACTGAGGAAAGTCCTTTTGAAGAGGATGCAGAACTGGGTGAGGCAGCTGGCCGAGAAGCTGTGGCAGCCCTCCATGGAGGTGGAGTCCTGCGGGCGCACACGGGAAGGGGCGAGGTGAGCCGCCAGCCCTGGCCGCATCTCCCCTTGGCTAAGAGAAAGCCCCCATGCAGCAGGGCGCAAGATGCAGCATGCAGCTGTCCCGCGGGGGGCCGGGGGTTTGCATTACCTTTCTCAACCCCTGCAATCGTTTTGTCTGCTTTACCTCTTCAGAGGGCCGGTGCCAAAGAAAAGGGTTCACCTCGGCATCCCCCCCAGGCTCTCTCCTGTGCTCAGAGTCACACATGCCCTCCCGGACGGCTCTCACCAGGCGGCTGTTCTGGTCGCCGTATTCGCCGGATGCGACCTCCATGACTGCGGGAGACACAGACGGGTGAGCCCCGGGCTCCGGAGAGGAGCCCCCGTGTTGCTAACGTGAACCCGGGCCTTGTTCATTTTGCGACAACACAGCCTCGAGCCTCGCGGGAGTACTTTTAGCGGGTTATGGGGATGTCGCATGATAGGATAAGATCATTCCACCACCAGTATTTCTTCAGCTCTAGGGCCCCCAGAGAGGGCATTTATCACATCAGGATCCTAGAAATGCAAATTCAGACGGTGACGCCAGGGAGCCTGAGAGGTAACCAGCTCATGCGTCTACTAACTTATTCACCCACTGATGTTTATTGGGTGCCTGCCTCAGGCATTCAAGCCCCGGGACTGGAGCCAGGAGATGTGTGGAAGGGGGCTCACTACGGGCTCAGGTGGGAGGGACGGGAGCACTGACTGTCCTTCAGCACCACGGACAGCCCTTCAGGCCCACCAGCCTGCTTGGGCCCCTCGGCCCCCCCTCCTGGTCCCCGAGGACTGTGTCCTCCACTGCCCCTGCCCCTCACTCCCACGGCCTCTCTGTGGCCCCTGGTTCCACACCCCACACAAGGGCTGCTCCTTCCCACTTGTGACCTGCGGTCTCCCATGCTGCCTTCCCATGGCCCCTTCCCTCACTGACGTCCTTGAGGAAGCCCAAAGTCCCCGGCCTTCATCTTTTGGCCCCCGCCCTCTGGCCACACCAGCTATCTGCTTTCCCTGAGCCTGAACCAGGGCAGCCAAGCCCTCTTAGATCCTATCATAAACCAGGACATGTTGCCACAAGAGAATGTCATCATCAGTGACGCCACATGAACCCAGCACGGCCGGCTCACGTCGCCACTCACACTCGCCATGCTCCAGATTGCCACTCTCCCCTCCTTCCATCCTCTCTCTGGTGACGCAGAGGGAACAGAAGCTGCCAGAAGAGAATGCTTTCACCTTCCCAAGACCTTTCCCACAGTTCCATGTGCCCAATTTCCTACACCCTAGGTCCTCTCCTCTTTGCAGATACTGGACCTCCCCACTCTGCCCCTGCTCCGTGGCCCCTGTCCCCACCTGCCTTCTCTCTCCGGGGAACAGGGGTGTGATGGTCATGGGCACCGGCCACTACCTTCACAACACACTGAAGCCTCCATTCAGGTGAAGCTCCCCTCCCCCCCAGCCCCTTCCATCACAGCCCACTTCTCAGAAGACAGAAGCTTGGCCTGGGAACCATGTCTCATGGAACACAATTTGGGGGATGACGTTGTAGAGATATGGAATCCTAGCAGTGCTGTGGGGGAAAACATCTGGATGGGAAAGGCTGACGGCTGGGACAGAGAAGGAGGGTCACCAGGTTGAGAACATCCTTCCTCACACACCAAATTCACATTCACCTGGAACCTCAGAATGTGGCTTTATTTGGAAAGTGCTCTTTGCAGATGTAATTAGTTATGGATCTTGAGATGAAATCATCCTGGATTTAGGGTGAGCCCTGAGTCTCATGACTGGAGTCCTTATAAGAGTAGGAGAGGACACCCAGAGACACAGAGGAAAAAGCCATGTGAGGGCAAAGGTAGAGTATGGAGTGACCCAGCCACAACCCAGGAACGCTGGGGCCTGCAGGAGCTGGAAGAGGCAGGAAGGACTCTCCTCTGAGCCTTCTGAGCCAGCATAGCCCTGCCCACACCTTGACTTTCAGCCCAGAACTGCAAGAGGATGAGTTTCTGCTTTTCAGGCCACCCAGTCTGTGGGGCTTCCTTGCAAAAGCCATGGGCAGGATATACCTGCAAAGACTAGACCCCAACACAGGGACCAAGGTGGGGGAACGGGACTGAGTAGGGAGTGTCAAGCACTCGGCAGCCTAGTAAATACGAGGCTCGGGAGAAAAGGAAGGCAAGAGGGATGCCAGGCTCTCTGGCTTGCAGAGTGGGATGGTGGGGGAAGACTTGGTTTTGGAGATGCGGCCTGGAGAGGCTGTGGGGTTTGCTGACAGATGTGTGGGGCATGGTGTGCAGGAAGGGTGCTGGGCCCAGAGACCCAGTAGGGGAAATGTGATGACCGGCAGGGGCGTCATGGCCCTGGAGCACACGGCTGAGAGGAGAAGCCAGGGGAGGCACCTGGAAGCAACGCCAGCGTGCAGGCTCCTACATTTCAAGGCCCAAGACACGGCACACTTGGCTGCCAAGCTCGGGAGAAGGAACTCGGACCATCAGCTTGGTCTCTTGGTCTCTGGACTCTGAGCATCACCTTTTTGTTATGTTTGGTAGAAATCTAAATCAGCATTTTAACAACTTGGTGAATCAATGTAAAAGGGTCGTTTTTTAAATTTTTAAATGTTATTTATTTTCAGAAATAACTTCGTTTAAATCAGAAACCTAACACAGCAAAGCATCAGGAAAACCAGCTCCTAACAACAGCATCCTTGTTCTAGTGCCCAGATATCTTCTCTGGAGGAAGGAAAACCTCTTCACTGTTCTTAAAAGCTCTGCCACAGGACAGCGGTCGAACCATGTGTGGAATATGAAAGGAATTTCTGATTTGGGGGCTTCAGGTAAAAGTAGAAACCCACTGAGCGTGGAAAAGAGCTTCCTTCTTTCCCCTCCAGCTGGTCAAGGCTCTACTTACCAAAATCAGCTGGGTTGTGATAGGTTGGGCAGTTCAGACCTAAATCCCTCAAGTACGGTACAAGATTTGAGACTTTTCCCCGGTACACACATTGTCCTTGACTAAGGACATAAAGCTGGAAAAAAAGAGAGAACATCGACCTTGTCCCACCTTGTAAAGCAACAGGAGCCGTCAATCCATATACCCCTCAATCCACTGCCCATTCAACCTCCACCCATCCATCCACCCTTTCATTTATCCACCCACCCACCCATCCATTACCCATTCAACCTTCTATCCAACTACCTATCTACTCATTAATCTATCCATCTACCCATCCATCCACCACCCATTCCAGCTTCCATCCATCCATCCACCCACCCACCCACCCATCCTTTACCCATTCAGCCTTCCATCCATCCATCCATCCATCCATCCATCCACCCATTCATCCATCCACCCACCTACTTATCTACCCATTCATCTACCACCCACTCAACTATCCATCTACCCATCCTACATCCATCCACCCACTCACCCACCCACTCATCCATCAGCCAATTTCTCTCACTTTCAGGAGAGCTTTCCATTACGTCCCCAAAATGTTAAAGTTCAACGGGAACTTTAAGTTAGGGAAGATATCAAATGGACAGGCATTACTTTATTATATTGCTTTTCTTCCCCCTCACACTAACCACCTGCTAGGAAAGATTTTGAAACTATACACATTTCATCCCTGGGCCTGTGTGTGTGTGTGTGTGTGTGTGTGTGTGTGTTTTGCTTACAATATCAAAACCTAAGATTCATAATAGAAGAAACGATGTTGTACACATAGGATAACCTATCATTTAATTCTGTAAAACAGGTGTCCCCCATTGTTACAAGGGCAGGGAAAATGAAGCTTTAGCAATGTCTGACCCTGTGGCCGGATATCAGCCCCAGAGGGAGAACACTGGCCAGCTCTTTCTACCCACTACCGCCCTGCCGCCTTAGCTGCTTATGACTCTAAAGTCTTCTGAAACATAATATTTAAGGCCACTCAGAAATGAAGACACCCCTGGGAACTTACAAGAAGCTGTGAGTCCCTGGGATTTGGTGTCACTTGGGCTGTCACCACACGTACCTGGTCAAAGAGTTCGAAGAGCTTGGCGCTGGGCTGGTGGATGGTGCAGATGATGGACCTCCCTCCTTGAGCCAGTCCTTTCATCAGGGAGACCACCTGGAAGCAGGACGCGCTGTCCAGGCCACTGCAAGACAAGGGGCACCGTGAGATGCCTGTGGGACCCCCCCCAAACTGTAGCCCACATTCAAAGCACAGGGAGGAGGAGGTCTATCCTGCTGCTTGAGCCGTCATGTCTTCTAGAGTCAGAAAGGGAGAGAGGGAGGGGAGTCAGGTGGGACCAGGGATAGGACAAAAAGGGGCAGGCAGAGCTTGTGCCTCCCCCTCCTGGGGCGACTCAAGGGGCCCCTATAAGAACCCTGGCGGAGAGCGCAGGGCTCTTCCCTCCACTGCCCTTGAGTACCTGGTGGGCTCATCGAAGAACATGACGGGAGGGTTGTTCACCAGCTCCAGGGCGATGGCCAGGCGCTTCCGCTGGCCGCCAGAGAGGCTTCCGGTCCGCGTGTTGGCGCAAGACAACAAGCCCAGAGCCGTCAGGATCTCCTTGACCTGCGGGAGCAGCAGAGCCAGAGTGGCCGTCAGGGACTGCCTGCCACACCTCACCACCTCCAGGCTCACGCGGAAACACCTGCCGCCGCCCCCAACGTGCTCGTGGACACACATAGATGGGATTGCATATCAGGGCCCTTCGCAGGCTGCCCGCTGCCAAGTGGGCAGGTGTCTTTCCAAGTCCGAGGTCCTGGTTTGGGCCCCGGGGCTGGGAAGGGGTGCTGGAGTCCCAGGTCAGCCTCCTGCTGGTGACGCTCCAGGCTTCCTCCCTTGTAAGCCCCGCTCAAGGCCAGGGTTCTCGGAAGGCGCTCGGTCGCCATGTGTAGAGTGGCGGGATTGACAGACACACAGACAGGATGATCAAGCATCGTCTTTTTTTTTTTTTAAGATTTTATTTATTCATGAGAGACACACAGAGAGAGGCAGAGACACAGGCAGAGGGAGAAGCAGGCTCCCTGCGGGGAGCCCGATGTGGGACTCGATCCCAGGACCTCGGGGTCACACCTGAGCCGGAGGAAGACGCTCAACCACTGGGCCATCAGGCTTCTGACAGCACAGAGGGGAGGGCCATCGTGGTGGTGCAATGGGAGACGCAGTGAAAACAGCCAGCGCAGCGCTTGGCACGGAGGCACCAGTGTAATCCACAGCAGCCGCTGAGGGCCCGGGAGCTCCTGCACGCACACACCACACAGGCCTCTCGGGAAGAAGGAAAGCCGCCCCGTTGGCACCTGTCATGGCAGAGCCAGGTCTCTGAGGTGGCAGCAAGGCCAGGAAAGGGCTTGAAGCAGTCACTGCCTGCACGGGCCCTGCCGATGCCTGTCCCCACCCCGGGCACCGGGATACAAACAGTCCTCTGTGACTAAGCTTCCGTGTCCGCTCCAGATTATCGGCCTCGTATTGACTCGGGGAACAGAAAGTCAGCAGACTCGAGCGCAGCGGTCAGGTGTCTTCCTGGAGGCAGCCCTCGGGGCGCTGGGGGTGGGTGGCCACCCGCCCTGCCTCCACCCCAGGCTCACCTCCCAGGGCCAGCCCTCCTGGAGGTCCCACGAGAACGTGCCCAGTCCCCATCTCGGCCTCTGGTGGCGGACCCCAGGCCAGTGGCTTCTCTGGGGAGATGAGGTCATCCAAGAGGAGAAGGAACTCACAGGGAAGAAAATTTCCACTCAAGCTCTTGAGTTACTGATGTATGGTCGGGACAAAATGCAGCCCCGGTGACAGGATGAGCCAGGACACTACTGCTCCGCAGGCCAGGAGTCGGGTCAGACGGACCCAGGTCCAAATCCCACTAGGCTTCTTTCTTATTGATCTGTAAACCCAACGCTCTGCCCTTCTGGAATGCACTGCATTTGAGAGATCCCAACCGGGAAAGAAGGTCAGAGAGGTTCCCCGGGAAGGGCCACCACGGCGGGGCAGGTGGGGAGGGCTCTTGGCACACCTTCCCTCCCCTGCTGACAGCATCTGTTGGTCTTCCCAGAACCACCAAGCTTGCGCGGAACCACAGGCCGAACCCCAGGTTCTTCTGGAACCACAGGCCGAACTTGCAGAATGAAGGGTCACTCCGCTCATTTCAGGCTTGCCTTTGGGGGCCCCCCGCGGCTCAGCACGGCACATGCCCGCTCCTTTCCACCATCTGTCCTCACAGGGCCCCTCTTTGTGGCTGGGGGTGCCCTGCCCCACATGCCCTCGGCCCCCATGGACAGGATGCAGGAGGTGGAGGTAAATGTCGGCACCAGCCCTTCTGCTGCCCCGTCCAGCCCATTTCTCCAATGTTCTCTCAAAAGTGATGCTCTGCAGGTTGGTTCTGTTTTAAAACTAGTCAGAAAGAACAACGTCCCAGCCCTGGGAGATGTCGCTCCTAAGCAAGCCCCTTGCTGGGGACCCTCAAGGGCAGGGGCCGCTTTTCTGGGAACCGAGGCAGGCTGTGGACCACATTCCATTACCTACTAGAACATTCCATTCTATTGTTTCCATGAGACACAAACAACCGAAGCCTGGGTTGGAGGGAAATGAGTCAGGGCAGGCACTCGGCCACTGTTTCATCCTTGAAATAACCGCTCAATCCTGCGGATGCTTTCTGGGGGGAGGCAGGACCTACACTTGGCTGAGGACCAGAATGGGGGCTTCCGGTAAGCAGCATGCACAGGACCCAAGACCAGCGCTAAGCCCCACAGGGAGGGCTCACCGCCTTCTCCACCCAGCAGGGGACGAATCTAAAGAGGGAGGCAAGGCTCCGGCTCCTTCGGGAGGACTCGGCCACACAGATGGCAGTGAAGCCCTCGCTGACTTGACGTCGTTGCTCCTGTAAAGCCAGCTGAGAACGGCATGTGGCTGTCCTCATGTCCTTGACTTAGGCCAGGCATTCGGAGGACGTGCACACGGGCATGGCCGGCCGGGAGATGCCTCCTCGCCCTACTGAGAAGGTCGCCTTGCCCCATCCCTTCTGCTATAGCAGGAGTGGGCCGCCGTGGGGCTCCCCCAAGACCCTGAGCGGCGATGGGGGCCCCGTGATGTAACAGGCAAAGCTGGCGCAGGAGGCGAAAGGCCTGGCTGCCTGTGTCTGTCACTACAGCACGCGTTGCCCTCCGAGCCCTTCAGTGAGAGCTACGTCTGTGTTCCCCTTCCACGTGGGAAGGACGGTCCACGCGGGTCACGCTGCAGGAAAATCACCCCATGTCTGTTCTGCGGGGTCATTATCTAAGCTTCACTGCGCCCCGGAGGGCAGGTGCGGCCTGGCCTCTCAGCCCTTGCTATGGCCAGAGGTCCAGAGCGCTGCAGACAGCGGCCCGAGGTTACCCAGCGGGTCCCAGGGCCAGGCCTGGTGGGGCTCCCCGGTGGACATCCCTCCGCTTCTCTGTGTCAGCAAGACCCTCGGCCTGCCTCATGCACTCAGCACCGAATTGTGCAGCTGGGAGTGGGACCCTAACTCAGCCCCCATTGCTGCGAGGGGTGTTCCCGTTGCTGTTGTGGCTGCTTCCTCCCACCCCACCCCCACCCCAGCCCCACCACCCCGGGGTCAAGGTGGCTGCTTGGGAGGGACTAGGGTCCTGAGGCTTTCCCCGCTCGACCTGCACCAACGTCACAGCCTCCTCCCCACCTTCCAAAAGGGACTCAGCATGCATGACCCCCACATTTGCATGTCTACGTTCTGGGTTCTAGCAATCATTTCGTTCCTCTGGAGTCAGAATAAAAGCTCCCCAGGAAGCACCCCCGACAGCACCAGGGGTCGTGTGTCCTTCTCCCGCCTGCATGGGAGGCTGACCCCGGGCTCCTGGGCTGATCCTGAGGGTTCCAAAGGGTGCAGGCTGGGCCGGGGGCCATGGGGTGGGGGGGAGAGGATGAGCCCCAGTGATGCCCGGCATTGTTTTTATGACACATTTATGTAACGTTAACTATTATGCACCACCCAAAAGGAACAGGCACGGTAAATAGAATTGCTGTTAAAATATTTCCCGGGACGCCCAGGTGGCTCAGTGGTGAGCGTCTGCCTTCGGCCCAGGGCGTGATCCTGGGGTCCTGGGATCGAGTCCCGCATCGGGCTCCCTGCATGGAGCCTGCTTCTCCCTCTGCCTGTGCCTCTGCCTCTCTCTCTGCATCTCTCATGAATAAAGTCGTTTTTAAACAAATTTTTTTTTCTGTGTCCGATGCATCACTCTGGTTTACGACAAACGTGAAGCCAAGGTGCACCACCGGTGCTCGCCCTGCAGATCCTACCCATTACGCTGCTGGACCATTGTCTTCCAAGAAGACAAGATAGTATTGCATAAGTGCGATTTGGCCCAATTTTACTCTTCCATGGAAACCCCACCAGCGCCAGGCTAGCCCTGCAGCGGAGGAGGGAAGCTGAGTTTCCCCCAGATGATGTGTAAACATAAACTGGTCACACCTGCTGAGTGGGGCTTCCCGGCTCCCAGGGGCTCCCAGGGACTGCTTCCCTGGCACCCTCCCTGGGCCCTGGGCTTTGGGGGAGCGGGGAAAGGGGGATGAGGAGGATTAGAAGGTCTCTGGCATCCTGGAAACTTGAAACTTGTTTATTTGATTTTTTTTTTTAAGGCCGCTTAATAACGGGTAAGAACCTAATTTCTTCTTGTGAGTGCGTGTGGGTGGAGGCTGGTTATTTTTAAGCGAATGACTAACCATGTTCGTTGTGTTTTATAAAAAAGCAATGGAGTGTAAAGCATGTTGAGCACCAGAAGGGGCAGGGCACTTGCTCTAATGTTGAGGCTGGTGCGCTCTGGCCACCTAAGCTTTCCTGCCGTGTCCTTGCTGGTTGGTGGCCTCACCGAGATCTGGACGTCTCGTGGCAAGGAGGCCACTCCTGGACCCCCAGCTGCCAGGCCGGAGCGCACACCAAGATGTCACCGTCCCCCACACCGAACACTAGGTGACAAACCAGCAAACAGAACCAGTGCCAAGAAGTCCCTCCCCACACGTTTGCCAAATGGATTTCGTGAACTTTCTGGACTGTCTGTGGCCCAGGCGCACACTTACCATCTCCCTCCTGCCCTCGTCCTTCTCTTGGAGCTTCAGATGTGCAGATACCTGTGCAGGGGGAGGAATCAGAACAGATGGCAAGCCTCACTCTCACGGAGGGGAGCCCGGAAACCCCTCGGAGGTCTTGGCGCCCACCCCCCTTGGTTTAACAAACGGAGGGCCCAGGAGAGCACTGCACAGCTGGGAAGCTTCCTGTTATCTCCGAGGGCTTCCCTGCTGCGCCCGCCACAGACGGGAGGTGTGGGCAACTGACAGGCCAAGGGGCTCCGGGCTCAGGGGCCTGAAGGTCCCTGTTGTATGTCTAGGAAGCTCACGGGCCATCTGTCAAACCACCGACAGATTAAAATGCTCCGCAGTGGAGGGTTTACACCACACAAATAGGCCAGTGCTAAATATAAGGACTCCAGGTTTGTTGCTGTTTTGTTTTGCGTGAGATCCTGAGGAGCCGTCAGCACTCAGTACTGTTACCGGCTAACCAGACGCTTAGGTGGTCAGGGCCAGAGTCCCCCACAGGGAAACAGGGAGCAGGGCAGTGAAGACAGGACCACACTAGCATCCTGATTGACAGCTTAGACAGGACCACAAGAGCCTCCTGTCTAGCAGCCTCTGCAAGAGTGACATTTGCAAAACATCCTGAAACAACACAATTAACCATAAAACATTGGCCACTGTCACAAGTTGGGGCAGCTAGTCTCCAGCTGTTAGCCTAACGCACCAGCAACACATGAACCATAACCCACCAGGTAGACAGGTGTGTGACCGAAGTCTCAATCGGTGCACCTCAGCGGCCAACCCACAGGGGCCACACTCAGGATGCTTCAGATAGTTCCCCGAAAGAGCTCGTAAAAACCCCTAGATTTAAACGCCAAAACAGCCACCCTCCGGGGCCCCTCCCTCTCTGGGAACTTTGTCCTATCACCCAATAAACCTCACTTTGCTGCCCACCACCCTTCGTCTGGTCTACGTCCTCACTCTTCGATATGGCGCGACCAAGAACCCGGGCAGTAAGGGGCCCCAAACCCTGTGGCAGTATCAGCCTTAGTCCTGCCCTGCCTGGTTGTGTGGGTGGCCTTGGTGCACAAGGAGACTCTGTTTCCTCATGGGCACACTTCCCCAGCCAGTGAGCTGGGGAAGAGGCCCGGCCTAGATGGCTCTCAGGCCAACACCCAAGGTCACTTGGCCATCCACCTTGTGGTCATGAGGATCAGAGGCAGCACGTGGAAAAGCACAGCCATCCTGACACGGGACTGGAGTCGGGGGCAGGTGCCCAGTGTCATCCCTACGCCTGTGGCAGGACCTTCAGAAGTAAAAAACAAAAAAGCAAACAAACAAAAAAATGATTCCCTCAAGTGAGGGATGATTTTCAAGGGTTTCGTAAAAATTCTCAAAGTCAGAATCTAATTTAATTTCACTCTGAAAAGGAATTTGACAGCGGAGCCTGGTGACAGGTTGGGGACAGTCACTGGTCTTGCCTGCACAAGAAAGCAGTGATGGGGCTGGAAGTCAAAGGGAAGTTTCTCGGTCAAGGAACCCAGTGAGTAGTTCAACAAGCGGCCCAGAAGCTGAACTCTGGTCACCCAAGAGGAAGGAGAAGTAGCAACTGAAGAATTCACCAAGCTCAAATTTTCTAAATTTGCTGTTCTATTGGCAACTCCTCCTAAGCTCCCGGTGCCCCCGTCAGAATGGCTGTTTGGAGGCAGGATAAGCTCCCAGGGGCTCCGAGTGCAGGTGCCAGGCCCGGCGGAGAGCTCTCCTCCTACAGGACACTCGGTACCAGGGAGGACGTGAATGAGGACACCCCGCGGAGCAGGTCAAGGGGGCAGACGGCATATCCGACATCTTACGCTGCTTCCCTTTGCCCAGATAAGAACCCCTTGGAGTTGGCCTTCAGATGAAACGCCAGGCAGCTACTCTCCATCTCCAGCCCCGCAGAGAGGAAGCGTTGCCCCTTCGAGTCGGAAGCACAGGGCAAGACCTCGCTTGGCAGGAAAACCAAGGCAAACACCCGCTCATCGACCAGAGGGAGCAGCTGAGAACGCTCCCCGGCGTGCCAGGGGGCCTGGAGGCCGGGCGCCGTCCTTTGCAGCGGGCCAGGGGAGGGCAGAGAAGCAAGCAGCCCCAAGCACAAAAACGTGTGGGCTGCTCCAGACCCCGTCGTGCAGGCGCCCGGGGCTCACTGCCTAACCCTGGGAGGTGCCCTTTCTCCTGTGCTTTGCACATTTGGTGACTGCGTGGGCCTTTGTGCATACGGGGCCCGGAATGCAGGGTGTGCAGCCAATGCTGGTTCCACTCCCCACCGACCCCAGCCGGCAGGAGGTGCCGAAGACCAGACCCTCGGGGCCCTAACCCAGGCGCCAGATCGGAGAACTCAGGCCCAAAGCCACAAATAAGCGAGGACACCTGATGGCCCACAGCAGAAGGGCTGCGGCCACCTCGAAGGAGTCGCCCACACAAGGTCTCACACACTTGACCACGATTTTGCCATCCAGAGTCTATGAGAACAAAGGGTCTTGGGAGTTTGTTGTCGATGACGCTGTCCTAACAGCATGCCTGGCGTCGGAGCCCCACCTGACTGTGCTCGGGTGACCCGCAGCGCCCTCAGCCCCACGCCGGGCACTGGTCGGTCGCACGCGGGCGGAAGGGAGGCCGGCCCGGGGCGGGCACAGGCCAGCGGGAGGCTCACCATCATGGCCTCCTGCACCGTGAGGTGTGGCAGCAGCATGTCGTCCTGCATGATGTAACAGGACACTTTCCGGAAGCAGCGCAGGTCCCGGGGCAGGCCGTTGATGAGCACGGCCCCCTTCATGCCGGTCTCCCTGCAAAGCCAAGAGAGCGCATGGTCAGTGCCTCCTCCGGGGCCTCGGGGAGGGAGGAGGCCCCTCCCAGTATCTTCCCAGTTGAACCCATTATCGATTATCGATTATGGCAGGGACGTCAAGAGACAGGAAGGGATGGGGACCCAGAACAGCACCGGGGCTCCCAGAAAGGAGCTGTGTGGAGAGCGTGCTCAGGATGGAACCAGTAAGGAACAAGTGCTAGTAAGCGAAGATATGCGTGGGTGTTCCCACCTGCCAGCACGTCACTCAGCCCAGGGTGTCCCCCTGAGGACCTGCCTCCAGCCCAGGGTGTCCCCCTAAGGACCTGCCTCCTGGACGTCACGGAGTGCAGAAACACCAAGGGGCTGTGGAGACCAGTGAACTAACAGCTGGTTTCCCACTTCATCCCGGCCAGTCCTGCAACCTTGGGCTCTTTCCTCCTGGGGATGGGCTGGGATCCCCCAGCCACCGTGGGGCCCAGGCGTGGGGCCCAGGCACCTGCAGGCAGCGGTCGGCAGCCCCAGGCTGCCCCAGGCAGGACGTCGAGGGCTAACACAGGCCCAGGCTGGAGCCCGTGAGCCCTAGGCCCCACCTGATGCTGGTCTTCATTTTTTTTTTTTTAACCTTTTGGGGTTTTTTTGAGAGAGAGAGCAGGAGTGGGGAGGATGGCTGGAGGGAGAGAGAGAGAACCTCCAAACTCCCCTGAAGAGCACAGAACCTGACACGGGGCTCGATCTCAGGACCCTGAGATCATGATCTGAACCGAAGCCAAGAGTTGGGTTCTCAACTGACTGAGCCACCCTGGAGCCTCCATCCTAAGGCTTCTTACTGCTCAACCCTGAAGGCCTCACCAGTGTCTGGATGGAACCTTCGGAAGTGACAGGACAGAGGGAGGGGGCCTCACTTTTTCTGAACGCTGCCCCAGGCCAACAATGGGGCAAAAACCCCGTTCTCCGCGGCAGGTGTACTCACCTGTATCCAGCCAGAATGTTCATGAGCGTGGACTTCCCAGCCCCGGACGGCCCCATGATGGCCACCAGCTCCCCGCTGTTGAACTTCCCGGAAATCCCTTTCAGGAGGGTCTTGTATCCTGCAGAAAGCAAATCACGTTCATTCCCGGCCTTTGCAGGCTCCGTGGGCTGGGCCGCACACCGTAGGGGCAAACCCACCCTTGATGATACAACCAACAGCCGAAACTTCTCATGTGGGGCATAAAATGCTGAGTTCTGGGTGAGGAAGTCCGCCCCTCTATGTCATCTCCCAGGTTCCGTCAGCAGCACCAGCATGCGTGTGCCCCTGCAGGGTGCATGAGGTGCTTGCACGCATGTTTTCTGGCCTACAAGGAATCCCCCACCCCATTGTGGGATGAGGAACCAGGTGTCTGGAGGCGGGGGAGGGGGGGCGCCTCCAGGACCCCACAACCAGTGTGAACAGATCTTAACCCGCAGCCACCCACTGACCACGCTGCCTCCACCCCCGAGACGGTGAAGCAAATGTCTTCCTTAATTGCATGATTATCATTTCACTTACTTATAACGTAAATACATCTAAATTATTCACGTAAAATGTATTCAGAAATCATTATCTTGTCATTAAGTAAAACAGCATTAATTAATTAATAATGAGGAGTTTATCATTTTGCAGCCACACCAGGTCGCTTCGGAGTTCCTGCCAAGTCTCCATCCGGGAGTTTCATGAAAGGAAAACACCCCCCGTGGCACGCAGAGCCACCTTCGTCTTTCAGGTGGACCGTTCCACGTGCTGTGAACGACGGAATAGAAGCGACTGGACTCCCAGGGGAAGACGCCCCGTCTGCAAACATTTTCTCCCTTCCTGAGAAACATCCTCAGAGCAGACCCTTCAACGATCACAACCACGCAAATGAAGCTTCTTACCTCCCGCAGCCAGTGGTTAGAGGGGCCCGAGAAGCACTCTGCGGACCCCTGGCTCTGGCCTTCCTCCCCGGGGGGGCTGGCTGCATGCTCCCAGCACCCCCAAACCTGCAGGGCCCTGGGGCGTTCTTGCCACGCCGTCGATGCGTCTCTCACAGATGGGCCGCCTCCACGCCCCACCTGGACCAGGCGCCACCTCGATTGGGACAGGGAGTCCCGGAGGATGCATTTCATCAGACAGAGAGCAGCGGAAGCAAAAGGCAGGAAGCCTGTGGCCCCGGGATCTGCCTCATCACGGAGAGCGGAGCGCAGCCGTCGCCTGGGGAGGGCTGACTGTCACCGGGTGGGAAGGGGCAGAGGAGCAAAGCACGCACGAGGTCTGGAGGAGGAGCTCACGTTCCTACCCCTGGGACGCGGGTGACTTAGGTCAGCAAACATGCACCAGAGCCTAGGGAGACCAGTGCATGGGGGGTTGGGACCCTAAACGACAGCATCTGGGTCTGCCCCGTGGGGGACAGACACACGGGCAAGTTAGGGAACGGCAGAGGCTTCTTTGCAAGCTCAAGCTCCCGGTGCGAGGGCTGTCGTCAGGGCCCCCGGGACCCGCATGACATCACCGAGGGAGCGCTAATGCTGGGCGGGCATTTGCTCCTGGCCTCCTGGAGGCTCAGGTCAGGATTGGGGTTGCTCCCGAGCAAACCCTCCCTCAGGCTGTTCTCCTGAGAACCAGGAACCGCCTGAGGACGTGGGTGGGTCCCTGGGATGACCACAAGATGACCACCGGCCACCTGGAGGCCGAGAGCAGTCCGCTGGCCTGGGGTGGCCCTGCACCCCCGGGTTCTGAGAGGCTGTTTCCTCTCTGGGCAGCGCCTCGGGGCATCCCCTGACAGCACCTGGCCTGTCCCCTGGTGTTGGGGTGCACACGGCTCCTCACACAGGCTGTGATGCCCAGGGCCAGCACACCAGGGTGTGCATCAGGCATCTGGGAGTGGTGGGGGCATCGAGCCCTTTCAAGGGGGACGGTGGGCCCCCGGGGGGGTGTAGAGCCAGCGGCTGGGACTGTGCATCTGCCCATGAACCCCCGTGCTGGCCGCACGGAAGCACCATGAGGTCCGGCGAGGATTGTGAGGCTCAGGACTCGTGTCCCAGGGAGGGACGCGGGCTCCCAGCATAACCTGAAAGGACAGGTGGCACGCGGTGGGCTGGCCGGGGGGGGGGGGGGGGCGGTGGAAGGGGGAGGGAGGACCTCCCATGCGGGGCCTGTGTGTGGGGTCGGGCAGCGGACAGAGAAGGCCCAAGACCCGGCTCGGGGCTGTGCCTTCTAATATCAGAGGCCTGTTTTTCTTTAGAAACAGCAAACACGCATTTGGGATAGAAGGATCACAAAAGTGACGGCGGAAACAAGTCACCTGTCTGTCCCACTTCTGGACCTGGAGAGGTCCAAGTGCATACTCGGCAGTGGGGTGCTGGATGTGGCCTGGGGGACTCGGACCCGTTACAGTGGGTTTCGTGGGCGTCCCACACGTGCACGACTCCCCGTTTATGTAACAAAATCGTCCTTGGCAGCAGAGCCTTGGGCTTGTCCCGTTCTAGAAATCCGAAAAGGAGGTGCGGCGTCCCCACCCCCCGCCCTACTTCCTGCTCATGAGCTCGCCCAGCCCAGTTGGTGGCATCACGGAGGGGCTGCCTCTTTCCTCCTTTGGGTGTCCTGGGCACGTGGTCACGTGGGTGCTTGTCCTGCTCCTGCCGGTCGGGGTGGTGATGCTCGCGGGGGCAGGGGTGGGGGGTCCCAAGCACGGAAACCACAGGGAGGCAGGGCCCCGCAAGGCCCGTCAGCAGCCCTGTGGGGTGCGGGCAGCCGTCTCTACAACAGCCAGGTCAGAAGCCAAATCAAAACCCAGACAAGAGAAGGGAGGAGAGACAGACAGAGAGGACAGTGCCCCAGGTCGCTCCATCACGGGGTGGAACCTGCTCAGACACTGAGCCCTCCCATCTCAGAGGATGTTGGCAGGCTCTGTCGCTGTGACCCAGGTTAGCCAACAGTGCTTTAGGGACACATATGGTGTCTGTCACCACCTACAAGGTTCAGGGGACACACAGCAGCCTAACTTCAGTTGAGTGGCAGCAGCGGTGGGGGATGGGAGGGGAGTATAGAGGGAGGCAGGGATGGAGGGATGGGGGGATGGGGTGAGGGGATGGGAGGGAGGGAGGCAAGGATGGAGGTGTGGAGGAAGGAGATCTAGGGTGGAGGGGGTGGGAGGGAGGGACCAGGGGGTTTGCGCTCTACCTCTGCAGTGAACAAAATACCAGCCCCCAAAGATGTCCCCGTCCTAATCCTTAGACTCTGTAGACTCTGTGTTACCTTGCAGACGGGATTAAGTTAAGGATCTTGAGAGGGAGACACAATCCTGGATTATCCAGCCAGGCTCAAACAATCACAGGGGTCTCTCTAAGGGAAAGAGGGTGAGCAGGCGGGGCAGAGGTGGCACAGGGATGCAGAGGTGGGGCTCAGGGATGCAGAGGTGGGGGCGCAGGGATGCAGAGGTGGGGGCACAGGGATGCAGAGGTGGGGCACAGGGATGCAGAGGTGGGCGGTTTAGGGATGTGGGGGGCGCAGGGATGCAGAAGTGGGTGGCGCAGGGATGCAGAGGTGGGGCACAGGGATGCAGAGGTGGGGGGCGCAGGGATGCAGAGGTGGGGGGCGCAGGGATGTAGAGGTGGGGGCGCAGGGATGCAGAGGTGGGGGGCACAGGGATGCAGAGGTGGGCGGCCCAGAGATGCAGAGGTGGGGCACAGGGATGCAGAGGTGGGGCACAGGGATGCAGAGGTGGGTGGCTTAGGGATGCAGGGGGGGCGCAGCGATGCAGAGGTGGGGGCGCAGGGATACAGAGGTGGGGGCACAGGGATGCAGAAGTGGGCAGCTTAGGGATGCAGGGGGGGGCGCAGCGATGCAGAGGTGGGGACGCAGGGATGCAGAGGTGGGGGCACAGGGATGCAGAGGTGGGGACACAGAGATGCAGAGGTGGGGGCACAGGGATGCAGAGGTGGGCAGCTTAGGGATGCAGGGGGGCGCAGCGATGCAGAGGTGGGGGCGCAGGGATACAGAGGTGGGGGCACAGGGATGCAGAGGTGGGGGCACAGGGATGCAGAGGTGGGGCACAGGGATGCAGAGGTGGGGCACAGGGATGCAGAGGTGGGCAGCTTAGGGATGTGGGGGGGGCGCAGGAATGCAGGAGTGGGTGGCGCAGGGATGCGGGGTGGGGCGCAGGCATGCAGAGGTGGGGGAGAGAGAGAAATCCGGGGATGCGGCGCTGCTGGCGGTAACGAAGCGGGAAGGAGCCAGAGGCAAGGAGCGCAGGCACTGGAAGCTGGGAAAGGCCAGGAAAAGAGTCTTCCGTGAAGCCTCCAGAAGGAACGCAGCTGTGACTTGGGGACTCCTGACACCCCAAACTTGAAGACAATCCGGGTGTGTTGTCTGGAGCCCCCGAGTCTGTAGCAGGGACACCCCTACACTCAGCCCGGCCCTGCTCACCCCAGCTCGCGCCCCACCTGTGCCGGGGTGCTCCCTGGGGGGGCAGGTTCCTGGACGATGGGGGCGGGGGGATGACGGGGGGATGGCGGGACTCCCTGTCGGTGCTGTGATGGAAACGCCAGCGGGCCTCGCGAGGGGCAGCTTGGCGGCGGCCTGCAGGGTGAGAAGGAAGCCCCGGGCTGTTCCAGAAGAGACGACCACGGCCGTCTGGCGACTCTCCCGGAGGAAGCCATTCTGACTTTCGTGGGTAGTCGGCGTGGCACGAAGCCTGGTTAGCCCACGCCCCCGGTGTAGACTCTTCGCAGCGAGGTCGAAGGAGCAGATTAAACGCTGCGCCATCAAATGCAAACAGGGAGACGAGGAGAGGAGAGGGCAGAGCGAGGCGCCAGGGGGCAGCCCAGGGCCTCATCCCGCTGCGCTCACCGCTGGGGAGCAGCCGCGGACAGGCCGCCCACTATTCTGGCCTCAGTTTCCCCAGGACGAAACCTCCCTCCGGCCCAGAATCCTCTGGATGGGAGTCGCACGCAGCTTTCTTCCTTCCGCTGCACCACCCGATGGCAGCTGAGGCTCGCGCGCAGTTCCCGCTGACGCGGCCCCGGGCCCCCGAGGCAGGGGCCCCCTATGCACCCACCATGCGCCCCGGGGTGGGGGTGGGGGTGGGGTGTC